TTCCCTCAGTTCCACCCTCCCCTAAGGATACATGGATTTATCTATTTCTTCTTTCTAAGCTCTCCTTCGCTATATAATCTGCCTGCTTATTCCCTATCACCCCAGCATGCCCAGGCACCCAACAGAAAGTGATATTGCAAGCAAACCCAACTCTATAAAACACACTCAAGATGTCATTTACAATATCAGGTCGAACTTTAGATTTTCTTGCTCTTTAGTCAGAACAGATAAAAACTTCTCTCGGTCTGGCTTCTTCAATCCACCATAAAGCCCATAAAATTGCCATTAACTCAGCAGTAAGAACAGAGCTTCCATTCGAAATACGTTGACCAATTTTCAACCCTAGTTTCTCCACATACACCCCAAACCCAGCTCTCCCATTTGTAAAAAATTATTATACTACTCTGATTAATTGAATTAAGATATACCACTATTCTTAATATCACCTCCATCTTATCTTTTTCCTGAAGAAAAGCAAACTCAATTTTCAACTCAGGCATCACCCAATATGGCATAGGTAACCATCCTATATGCTCTGTAATACCTCCCTGTTCCAATCCCATCTTCCTAGCCCACTGATTTACATTAACAAAAAAATTATTATATTTCCTACTTCCAACAAACTCTTGCAACAGACACCTTGCTGGATACGTATAATTACATCCACTGAGTTTTACCCAGTATTGTAGTCCTAATTTAATACGCCTTAACCATAAGGGCATTTCTCCCATTTCAATAAGCAAGGCCGAAACTGGGGAAGTTCTGAAGGCCCCACAACGAATCCTCAAAGCCCTTGTTTGCACTACATCTAACCAATCCAAAACAGTTTTAGAAGCAGACCCATATGCAAAGGACCCATAATCAATAATGGACCTGATCATGGCCTGATAGATTAGTAATAACGTCTCCCTATTGGCCCCCCATTCACATCCAGCTAGACTTCTCATAACATTCAAAACTTTTTCACACCTCTCCACAATCTTACCTACATGTACAGCCCAAGTCATACGTTCTTCAAACCAAACACCCAAACATGTAAAAGCCTTTACTTTCTCCAATGGAGACCCTTACAAATAGAGCCCTATATTAGGTAACTTTCTTTTAAAACCTAATGTCATATATTTTGTCTTAGATGCCGAAATGTTAAATCCCCATGTATTCCCTCATTCCTCCACCAACACTAACATTCTTTGAATCTGTTTTAAAACAAACCTTACATTACGCCCTCTTTTCCAAATGGCCCCATCATTTGCAAATAAAGAAAGCCCAAATCCTCTCTCTATTTTACCAAAGATATCATCAGTCATTATATTAAATAACACTGGACTGATAACACTTCCCTGTGGGGTTCCATTCTCTATTTCCACAATCTTTGAACTAACACTACCAACCTTTACTTGAATTGTTCTTTTAATTAAAAAATTTTTTTCCCTTTATCCAATTAAACACCTAACTCCTAAATCAAAAATTTTAACCATTAATCCCTCCTTCCACAAAGAATCATATGCTTTCTCAACATCCAGGAAAACACTAACTACTACTTCCTTATTACTAAATGCCCTTTTAATATCCTGATCCAACACTGCAACTGATTCCATTGTAGACCTTCCATTCCTAAAACCATTCTGAACATCCACAAAAAGTCCTTTAGTTTCTAAAAAATATACTAACCTATTTGTTACCATCCTCTCCATAATCTTACAAAGCACTGCCGTGAGCGCTATTG